TGATTATTTTTCCTGGGAATACGATGAAATGCTGGGTTTGTATACTGACGTAGCGGTCCATAAACTTGGGATTCAACACGATGCCATTCCTATTAAATAAGCTCCTCGGCGCATGCGCTTAGAGATTGAGTAATAAGGTGTTTTCAAAATTAAGAAGTTGGTCAAAGCTGGATGTATCTAAAAGGAGCAATACCCCTCTTGGGTTGCCAGTATCATGCCAATTAGAAAGAAGAATGGTCAAATTAAAATTTGTGTCGACTATAGGGATCTGAATAAGGCATGTCCCAAAAATGAATTCCCTCAACCTATACCAAAACTTTCGGTAGACATTACCTCTTCGCATGCTATTTTATCCTTTATGGATGGCTCATCTGGTTATAACTAAATCAAGATGGCCCTAGAAGATGAGAGAAATATTGTATTTAGAACTCCCATAGGAATCTTTTTTGTTATAAGGTGATGCCATTTGGCCTGAAAAAGTCTGGGGCAACCTACCAGCAGGCCATGACTCACATCTTTGAAGACTTAATCCATAATCAAGTTGAATGCTATATTAATGATTTAGTTGTCAAGAGTAAAGTTAAGGAGGCTCACCTATATGACTTAAGGGTCATTTTTGAATTGTTGTGCCGCTATGATTTGAAAATGAATCCCTTGAAGTGTGCCTTTGGTGTTACCACCGGAAAATTCTTTGGATTTGTAGTGAGGCACCAGGGAATTGAAATTGACCCTTCCAAAATTGAAGTCATCTTAGATATGTCACCTCCTAGGAGCCTTACTCAATTAAGGTCTCTACAAGGTAGATTGGCATATATAATGAGGTTTATCTCTAATCTTTCTAAGAGATGTCAACCCTTCTCTATCCTTGCCAAGAAGGAAACAAAATTCATATGTAATGAGAAGTGTTAGAATGCCTTCAATAATATCAAGAAATACCTCTCTATCCTACTAGTTCTAGTAGCCCCTGAGCTGGGGAAACCTTTGATCGTCTACACTGCAGCCTTAGATGAATCCTTAGGTGCCCTGTTAGCTCAGGTCAACGATGAAGGGATAGAGAATGCTCTCTATTTCCTTAGACAAATACTTATGCCTATAGAAATTCAAAATCCATTAATTGAAAAGCATTATCTTGGTTTGGTTTATATAGCCCAAAAACTAAGGCATTACATACTTTCCCACTCGATCAGACTAATTTCTAGAGTTAATCCTTTGTAATATCTTATGACCCGACCTACGTTGTCAGGACGCCTGGCTCGATGGTCTATGATATTACTCCAATTTGATATTACCTTCAGTCCCCTCTATGTTGTAAAAGGCCAGGCCCTTGCCAACTTTCTAGCAGCACACCCGCTGTTGGCAGATTCTCCTTTGAATGATGATTTACCTGATGCTGTTTGAGGGAATCTGAAGATGTTGTCTGGGAGTTTTATTTTGATGGTGCAGCATCCTCTCATTGGGATGTAACCCAAGAATTTATGATCCCCAGAAAGGCTAAAGTTGGCTTAATTTTTATAATGCCATAAAAGGGATTGATGCACTTTTCCTACCATTTATCAAAACCTTAGATGAACAACGAGGCTGAATATGAAGCTATGATAATCGATTTGGAACTTGCAATTTTAATGGAGATTAAAGTGATTAAGATCTTTGGTGACTCTCAACTAGTGTTAAACAAGGTTGCAGGAACTTATAAGATCTTAAATCCTAATCTTTTAAAATACCACCAATACACCGTTCATTTTCTTGAGCAGATTCTTATCAGAACTCTATATAGGGTTCTCTGTGGAAATAATTTTGCGATGGATGCCTTAGCGAAGCTTGCAAAGGAATTCGCATGTCCGGAGGAAGATTCCATCCCTATAGAGATTTAGGGTCGTAAAGCCCTTTCCCCTATTGACTTGGAATACATCAACAAGAAACCTCTTCAGATCCTTTCTTCCTCTTCGATAACTGATAAACAAGGTGACTGAAGATAACTGTTGATCAACTACCTTCAAGAGGGAAAACTTCCTCAGGATAAGTCTCTTACTAACCAGGTTAAGAAACGTGCCTTATCGTATGTACTAGTCAACAATTCGTTGTACCGTCGATCATTCGATCAAATGTGGCTGCATTGTATAGACAAATGAGAAGCCCCAAAGATTTTTAATGAAGTCCATTCTGGACTATGCGATGCACATCAATCGGCTCCAAAAATGAAATTGAGAATCAAAAGACTTAGGTACTACTTGCCTACAATGATTGACGAATGCCTGTATATTGCAAAGCATTGTCATCAATGCTAAGTTCATGGAATGGTTTTACATCAGCCGCCTAATGTGTTGCACCCCACGATAGCTTCTTGGCCCTTCAAGAGTTGGGGCACATATATTATCAAATTGATTAACCCTCCTTCTTGAGAATTCATCGCTTCATATTAGCCACGACTAATTATTTCTCAAAATAGGTGAAAGCAATTTCCCTGCATAATATAACATCCCACCATGTCTTAAAGTTATTTTGTGACCATATCGTATATCGATTTAATGTACCTCGTAGAATCATATCCAATATTGGGTCCGCATTCAAGTCTACAAAAATCAATAATTTTGTAAGATGTCATAACATTGATTGAAGATACTCAATGATCTATTACCCTTGGACTAATGGATTGGTTGAGGACTTCAACAAAAACTAGGTGCCAATTATTAAGAATACCCATAGTGATAACAAAAAAATGACAATGGGATGAGTGGTTGGTGGAAGCTCTATGGGCCTATCAGACTACGTATAGAACCCTGACCCAATCCACTCTATTTGCAATGGTTTATGGGTTCGAGGTCATTCAACCTTTGGAAATACAAATTACCTAGCTCAGAATCACAGTTCAAAATCAAATCATAAGTGATAAAAATGCAAAATATTGATTATAAGAACTCGAAGGCCTTGAAGAGTGACACCTCCATATATATATATATATATATATATATTCTTTTGTCTTGCATTAAAAGCATTGATGGAGTTTGATTACTTGCTGAGTTTTTCTGCTCATTATATGAATTTTTATGATTTCAGGTCACAAGAATGATTATTGGAACCAATTGGAATGGAATTGATAGAGATCTGCATGTTTTCTTTTGAATTTTTTTGTATTTTTCCTTATTATTTTGTAGTCAGGAGTTTGTCATAGAGTAGTAATTATATTGATATCCTAACTATTGTATATTAATTTTGTGAATATAGTAAAATATTTTGAGCTATATGATTGTTAGTTATTTTTACTTGATATAGACTTATTATTGTTATGATTTATATAAGCTCTAATTGCTTAATTAAGAAGATTAAAATAGATAATTATTTCAATTTGATTCTGGGGTGTTACATTGGATTTGGCAAAGATGAAAATGAAGTGAAATTTGATATTTTTATAAAATATTAATTTGACACTATGGCGTTCAGAATTCCGTCGTCGTAACACTCCGACGTAGCACAATAGTGCTCCTCTTAAATTCTTAAAATAAAGAGAGCTCGGTGTCATAGCTGCTGCCAACTCCAGCGTCCCAGTGCTCATGAGAAAAAAAAAAAAGATTTTAAAATTCATGCATACAGACTCTTGAGACATGCTTCAGAATAAAATCAGACATTTACATGCATACATAACATTGTCAAGCACAAACAAAATGAAAATGTAGAAAGTTCTAACATATATAATTTATCAGGTCGGGTCCGAATGGGTTAAACATTGTTATAACATGTGTCATAGGTGAGGAGGTGCTTAAACAAGTAGAAGAAACAACATGTTTATGATTTCCGAACAAACCCAATTTAATGTTCTAGTCAATTTTCTTTCTATGTTATTTAATCCTAATTTTATTAGTCCCAAGTATACAAATTTATTTCCAAATATTCTAGCGAAAAATTAAGGTGAAAGCACATACATATGATAAACCTAGGAAAAAATAGTCGTTTCCAAATTACAATCATTATAAACAATCATTCACCTAACAATCAATCTATAAAAAAGACTGTGGATTTTGCCTATGACCGGACGTTCCTCTACGTCCTTATACAGGACCTAATAAAAATTAGAGGAACGTCCGGTCGAAGGCAAAATCCCGCCAAAAAACTCGGTATTTGCTCGGTATTGCTAGGTATTATTTGATAATAACAAGGAATACCGCTCTGTGAAGACCAATACCGAGTTATAGCGAGCTATACCGAGCAATACCGAGTTGTACAAAACTCGGTACAACTTTTGTATAACTCGGTATTGCTCGGTATAATTATGTATTGGGTCTTCACGTGATGGTATTCCTCATTGTTTGGTATTGCTCGGTATTTCTCGTTTTTTGGCGCGATTTGGCCTCCGACCGAACGTTCCTCTACGACCTTACACCGGACCTAATAAAAGTTCCAATATGATAAGTGTCAATTATAAATCTTTTTAAATATAGGCAAGAGTGTGATGACTTTAAATTACAATCCGGATTCTATTACACGTCTTATACAAAAATGAGATAATTTTTGAAGTCTTCAACGTTCTTCTCTGAGCTTGATTTGTTCCTCCAATAAGGCTTCCAAATGAAAAGAACATCCTTATCTTTCTACAGCGTCCCAGTGCTCGATAACATGCTCAATATTGCTGACGCAACTCATTCTGATTGATTTTTAGATGTAGAGCTGAGTTCCAAGTTCATGGCAAATTATTGCATCCGGCCACTGGACCTGGAAAATAGGTTCGGACATCCAATAAAAAATTTGCCACGTCACTTGTGCTTTAGTTGCGCTTTGACTGCGCTTTACCTGCACTTTACCTACACTTAATTTAAAATGATATTTTATTAATATCCAGACCTATCTCCGCGTATGATGACCAGATATAATAATTTGCCCAAATTCAAACATAATAATTTCTCTTTTTTATATCAGTGCGCAACTGCTTGATACGTAGATATACCAATCGGATCCCATTATGTAGATATTCGGATTAAACTTCGGGTCGGATCGGATTATGGCTAGATAAGGCGGATCCGGTCCGGGTTGGACTTTAGAGAATCCCAAAATGCTCCAAGGATAATTGGGCCATCTGCTGAGAAGCGCTGGTACAACAGCAACAAAACCCTAGACTCCTTCATCGCTGTTATCCCCTCTTCCATTCCCCGACTCAGCAAGGTGAGACGCTCTCCACTCGCACGTGTGACGTGGCTGTTCGGATGTTCTGCTTCTACCTTTCAATTTGTTTTTCCAATTGTTGATATCGTCGATTGATTTGGATGAGATACTAAACAGTCAATTTGAGTTTTTTTTTTCTTTTATCCAAAATTCCTTTTTTACTACCCATAAACCCGTCTGACCTGTAGAAGATGGGGTTTCCTGGTGGATTATGCTTCTTGCGCATGCTTTAATCTCTGAAATTTCCATTATTTAGCATGTTGTTGCGTTGTGCTGTTTGGTTCTGTGATTCATCTCCGTCGTGCTGTTAATGTTTGATATCCGATACATTTGAACATGCCATGAGTCTCAGTAAGGAGAAAAAAAACTAATTTTTCCTAACCACATTTTTTTGTACTTTGGAACTTTGTTCTTTGTTTACTGCTGCTAAGTGTTATTTACTGGTTTAGTTTGCTTATTGGTTGACGGCAGTGATTGGTAAAGTTGTAGTTTATAGAATCTGTTGTGTTTTTAGGCTCGGAGGATCTTTATTGCAAATATTTGCACTCTCTCAAGGTGTTTCTATACTAGTTATGTCTATTCATTTGTCAAGGTGGGTTGATTTTATTGTGTTGTTGAATTAAAATTTTGGGTTTGAGTGCTCCTCTCTCAAGGGAGTAGAGAAGGGTTTAAGACAGTCGTAAATATTTGGCTACAAATGCTTTAATTCACCCATTCCATGAAAAACTGTAACACTCACTAGATGCGTTCTTCTCTAGATACTTATATATCTTGGTTACTTTTCTAATGTTTTTCAGCTCTCTTACCTTAACATATTAGGCATTCAAATTAGTATTTTGACTTTAGCTCTATTACCTATGTGGATGTACCGGTTGCAAACGTTTCTCATAGCTTATTGTTGCCCTTTGTTGAAGCTCCTAGAGATGTATAACGTAGAGTGGTGACTAGCATCAGAAGTTTTAATTGGATGACTAAAGAATTTTATCAAATATCAAAACTTATTTTATTTTATTGTTTCCTAGGTAAGATTACTTTTGAAGCAAGCGGAATTTAGAAAAATAGTGGAAATATAAAAATGCAATGCTCTTAGAATTACTATAATAGAGATCAAATGCATGTTAGAATAATTTTCAGCCATTAATGTTGACAGGCAGAGTGATACATAAGTACATGATGGAAAATGAAGATGCAACATGTCATCACTTGCCATGGAATGCAATATGAAGGCGGGGCATGCCATCACTCGCCTTTTTAGATTTATTATATAATAAATGTTCAGCCATGAGGTTCTTTATTATGAGTTTTTTTATGAAAGAATGGAGATATCGATGATAATATAACTTTTAGAGTTAAAGTTGGGTGATTCAAATGATGTGGATCCTAAGGAGTACCATTTGATAAGGGAATATCACATAGACTAGTGGATAACTATTATAAACATGCAATTATCTTGAATCCTAGAATGAAAAGAGAGGAGATATAAAAATGAGAAATTTTTATGACTGAATTTTATTCTTTTGGTCTGTGTCAGAAAGATGATGAGAAGCCATAAATAAATGTCCAGGAAAGAAACAAATATAAAATGAAAGCTGTTGTCAATCGATTGATGGATTGATATTGATAGAAAATTGATTTTGATGGATTGCTATATCTAGAAAGGTGTTATCTACAGATTGCTGGATTGTTATTGGTAGAAATGTAGTGACCATAGATTAAGGTTTATTTCAACAATTCACCTTGAGTCGGTTGTATATGTTAATCATTGGACAACATTTTTGCAAGACTTGTGCCGGCTTGATTGCCACAATATAATTTTGAATATTTTTTCACTTAATAGTTTAGTTTTTCTATTATTCTACATTCCTTAGCAATATGCCAATTGTTACTATCAAGTATTTCGCTTCAACACTACTTCTTAATACCACATATTGTTTCTTACTTCTTCATGTAACCAATTTTTCCCATGCATAAGTAAATAAATAAAAATAGATCTTCTGTCTACCGCATCTTCAACCCAATCAACATGTATGGAAATTTAAATTTCCTTGTTGGAAATGTTTTCATATAGCATGCATTTTTATGGTGTCAGGTGCCTTCGAATATGTTTAACAACTTCCATGGGGCCTTTTGTAAGGAAGATGAATTTTCCCACTAGGCATTGATAATTGTATTTATCCGCGGTCTTTTTGTTGGCGATGATTCTATTAGTGCTGAACATATGGTACTTATGCCTGTCATGAGAAAAAGCAAATTTATTATCTCTATAATTTATTTAGTTTATGATTTTTCTCCTCATTTATTACTCTTGAGTGTTATTTTTTAATACAACAAGTGGTTGAGGACGGTGTTGGATAAAGTTGTAGTTTATAGGCTTTGCCATGTTTGTAGGCTCGTTGGATCCTTATTAAAATTATTTGCACTCTCTCAAGGTGTTTCCATACCAGTGGCCTTTTCCTTTGTTTGGGTTGGCGGGTTTTTGGTTGGTTGGTTGGTTGACATGAATTTATGTTTTAGTCCCATCTAAAGGTGAAAAAAATGGCTTAAGGGAGTTGTTAATTTCTATCCTTATTCTTGCCTTTTTTAACTGAATTGCCGTTAGTTTTGTGTGCTGCTTGAAATTTTGTCAAGTGAGATACTTCTCTTTGAAGTGTGAACTTGGTTATTTATTCATTTTATCATTCAATGTTGTTTTGGGTGATCAATGAATCATCTCTTGGAATAAACAAAGTTTGTTTGATTTCCTTAAATTTAAAGTGGCAATTGTTTGCTAAAATTATGAATTAGTAATCTACGAATTATGCTTTTCTTTTATTTTCATCCTGCATTTTATCATAAATTGCATTAGATAACCTGAACCGTTAACCTGTCTTACATCATATGCATATTCACAACTCATGGATTTTATCTATTCCAGCGTAAATAATCTTATGGATCATATTAATTTTATGTGTGTGTGTGTTTTTTTTGTAAGGAAATATGGCTCAGTAAACTTTTTTTTCTTTTTGTTACTCCTTAAGTAAACATATTTATCATAGGTGATTTATGAACTCAAAATTTCAACTTGGTATTATGACAAGTGAGCTGCCTTTGAAAGCAATGATCGCCCCACCACATTTACCATAGAGTTTGGCGCTCTTTACAATGTTTACAATCAACAAAAATAAACCGCATGAACCTTAATTTCACTATCTAGTTATCGCGTCTTTGTAGATAATGCATTGTTTCAAAGATGGTGGACCAAACAGCTCCTTAATGCAATCTTTGAAAACATTATATTTAGTACTTAATGCTTATTAGTTATTCTGCATTTCAATATTCCTTGACTGGTTCTCCTTTGTAGATGAATGTTGAGAGGCTCCAAAAGATGGCCGGTGCAGTCCGCACTGGCGGAAAGGGCAGCATGCGTAGGTTTGTTCTGTTCCGAGCGCATCAAGATAAGGATTTTGTGATATTATTTTTATGTACACGAGAAATGTCATGCACTTTTAATATATTGTTGGTGCTTATTCCTATCCTATTGTCGCACAAATGCTTGCCTTATTATATAATAGAGAAGTGATAATGGATGTCATATAATGTGCATGTATTGTCTGAGGATTATGAATTCTGCAGTTATGCTGGTGATAAAAGGTTATTTATGCGGCAAGATGTGTCGAAAAAGACACTTATTTGTTCAAATATTCATGTCTTCTGTCTACATTTGTAGCCAAGTGGTGCTAATGCTTGCCTTATTACTGGGTTTGAGCTTTATGCCATGTAGTATCCGGACAGTATCATTTTGTTGAGTATAGCCCACTATCATTTTGAGTCCTACGTGAGTGATTTTGGACATTCTGGCAGTTTTGGAGGCTGGTGTTAGTTTGATAAATAACTTCTAAATATTTCTAATAGTACATACTTTAGTGGGCAAGGATTGTTATTATCAGTTTTCTGAACTCTTGTACATTAAAAGATCAGTTCTTGTAAATTTACTAGTTGAGATGTCTTAAATCATGATTTTGGTATATCAAAATGTTAGACTGGAGAGTGTTTACAATATGATACAAATTGAAGTGTTTCTAGCAAAATATACTTCCACATGTTAATCTTCAGGAGTTTGGAAGGTGCAAAATTCTTTTTGGCTATAACTACAACTTCCCCAATTTTCTTTTTATTAGAAAACTCATCATGATATCATGCAGGAAGAAGAAGGCTGTTCACAAGACTACAACAACAGATGATAAGAGACTGCAGAGCACATTGAAGAGGATAGGTGTGAATCCTATTCCTGCCATTGAAGAAGTCAACATATTTAAAGATGATTCTGTTATCCAGTTTCAAAACCCAAAAGGTAAATAGTGAAATTCAGGTAGACTGCAGATTTCTGTAACATGTATAAATGTCCTCTTTTATTTGCTAAATATTTTTTCTTTCACAGTGCAAGCTTCGATTGCAGCAAATACATGGGTTGTTAGTGGCTCTCCACAAACAAAAAGTACTTTCATATCTTATCTGAATGCATTCACGTTTTGAATATCTATCAAATGGCATATCACTGCTCTTATAGCATAGCAGATGTTAATATTAACTCACACCATCTGTGCATCTGGTTTGCTGCTTACTGCTCTCCTATTTTTATTAGAAAAAATTACAGCCATGTTAATCAAAAGTTGGTTATTTATGGAATTATCACCTAACCCAAATAAATGAATTATTGAACCTATGTATTTGCATGAGCGATGATTAATTCATTTAAAATTTAAAGCAGGAGAAAAATACAAGTTGTAATCTATTGTGTTCTTCAAGATTTGAATTATGTTATTGCAAATGGTGGTATTTTAAATAGCCAAATTTTGGTTGCTATACATGAATCGCTCCATATTATCGTCATCATCATTTTCACTACCATAATGGTGATTTTGATTATTATTGCAATAACGTCTATCATTGTGGGAAGTGTGCCGAGATTGTTGATCATTTATTTTAAACGGTTTTATGATTACTTAGCAAAAAATTCTTAGTTGTGTATGTTAAGTTATTGTGTTTCTCAGCCATTTTTTCTAAACATTTTATATTTTTTCTTGACAGAGCTTCAAGATTTGCTACCTTCAATCCTCAGCCATTTGGGTATAATTTTCATACCTGTGCTGTTTGATTTTATTTTTTTTAACCTTGTGCAAGTGAAGTCTTCATGATTTTTGATGAGAACTCTCATTCCTCTTCTTGCAAAAATGTTTTACCCTGTTTTTTTTTTCCTTTCTAGCATGCCTTGTTAAATATTATTCATTGTAGAAATTGTTGTTATTTCTGGTCATTTTTTATTTAACCTGCTTTCTGAAAACAAATCACGGGGAGGAGTTGAATTGCATTGTATGACATTTTGAAATTTTTAACCAGCCATGGAAGATTGTACGGACAATGAATATAAATGTTATAAATAAAAATTGAGAAGATATCAATAAGCATAAGCTTGCGGCTTGACAACATCCTCATCCTAAGATACCTCTCTTGGGGATTTCTTCTAAATTTAGCTCTTTGTAATTAGCTAGTAAGTTCAAGCTTGTGCAAAATTTCCTTCCCTTTACAAGGTGAATTGAAACCCAATCTCTCCTATTTAAGGCTAAAAGAAACCACTCCTAAGTCACTAGTTTTGGTTAAGTCTAAGAATTTTGGAAATTTTGTTTTAGTTGGATCCAAGAATTGTCGAAAAACAACGGGATGAATTCCCAATCTCTACTAGAAATTATTAATAATTGAAAGGAGTTGCTCTATAGATTGAGATGAAGAAGAATATCATCTCAAAAAATAAATCAAAATAAAAACATCTCCTTAAAAACAATTATCAAGACAAAACCTGCACAAATTATGGAAGAATTAGCCCAATGTCTTAGTTTTTCTTATGAAGGATTAGTGGGATACATATGGATGAAAATTACATGTGAGAATACAAGTAAATAACGCAATCATTGCTGAGAGAATCTCCTTTATTTATTTCTCTCTCTCTCTCTCTCTCTATATATATATATATATATATAGTTTTCACAACCATAAATATAGTAGTATGATCTAAAAATACGCTATCAAGCAACCCTAAATATTGGTCTAAATTTGTATGAAAGATATATGTTGTTACCCAATATAAAAGAATAAAGACGAGCAATAGTATTTGCCAGTATTATGTGACACCGCAAGTGTTAGAGCCCAAACAAGAAGTGAACACTACAAATACCTTGTAATTCTCCAAAACTATTGCATTGTAACAGTTCTCTGGCCATCCACCTTTGTTTGAGTCCATTGCCTTGTTCTTCTTTGGTTTTGTGGTGAAAGTTCGTGCCTTCGCGTTAGATATGCTGCTCTTAACAATCTTTAGCCCATACAATTCTAACCATGGCCTTCAAGATTTCCGAGGTTGTAACTTTACTGGTTTCCAGGTTTCTTGGAGTGCTGCTTTGGCTGGAATTTTCGAACTGCTAGTAATGTTGTCCAAAAGGATAAATGGTAGTTCAAATGCCCAATAAGAAACAATATGACCAAAAGGGAAAAAAAGAGGAAAACAAAGAACTTGTTGTGGGCGGGTTTTGGCTCAAGACAATGGCAGATCTATTTACATATGTGTTGCAATGCCATCGAGCCTCCCTACCTGTTTTAATAAAATGGACTACTACTCAATGTTATTGTGACCAACCTAGGTTAAGCCCGACTTTTCAAGATTGCCAAGGGAAAATTATTGGGAGTTTGTTGCTATATAAAAACATAAGACAACTGACGCATCTCGGACAGCCACCCGAGAGGAACTCATTAGATCAAATATTGCCATTGAACCTCCCAAGAGCAGCTAGTTGTAGTCCGACCCTTCGACGACCATCAGAGACGGTTTTTTGGAGCTAGGTATTGATATTGGTGGAGTCTCAAGCTCAACTATGATCACCTTCCTCCCCCTCTCAATACGAGAAATCCTCCTCAAACTAGGACAAAACTTGAATTAAAAACTTATCAAAAAGTTGAATTCTACTGAAGTGAATGGTGTTTAAATAGGCGAGCACCTGCTTAAGCACCTAGTAAAGATTTTAAAACTCTTATTTACAAATCTACCCCTCCAAAAAGAATGGAAAAGAAGTGTTAATGAAGAGAGATAATAAAAAAAGGACCCCCACCCTTGATGAGCATGTAAAAGTTTTTTCAAGTGGAATTTGAAATTCTAAGTTTATAAGGAGCATTTACCAAACAATTTTTCTAGGTATTTATTTGATCAAGTAGAACACATTAGATGTTTTATTTCCTTAAATTGAACATGCTACCTTTTGCTTTTAGTTTTTCATACTCCACTAAATATACAAATTAAAGTTCAAAAGCAATCTGAGTCGAAACAACAATTTATTTAGAGATTACGTATTTGTTTCAATAATTTAATGAAAGAAATGTCGATCATTTTAAAGGCAACGTTTAGTAAAATTCAAGTATAACCAAAGGGGGATATATCATTATTAATGTAGTGTGTAATATTTATAAGTCTATTTGATGATGATGATAAAATTAATAAAATCAAATCAATAAAACATGTCCTGAAAAGCTTGAGACAACTACCCAAATCCAGATCGGCTAGGGTCTTGAGCTTGATATTGATATCTCTATTGTATCTACTTACAGTATTGTGTGGATCATCCAAATAAGCTTTTCTTCAAGCTTAATCTTCACATGGTTTACATTACATGGCTTGAAAAATCATTCGACACGAACTTAGTATGTACTGTACTGCTATATTCGACAATGGGCAATGTAATTAGACGATATTGAATAATTTCTCATTGTCAAATTTTATAATCTATGGATTCATTTGGCCAGTATTCTCCCATTTTATATGGTGAGAAATCATTTTTTTGTCAATAGAGGTCTATTGGAAATATTCTTCCATCGCATCGATATAAAACTGAAGCTTGGGCGATTTCCCCTAAAGTAATGTTACCAATAATTTCAATGATACTTCCCTTGTAGCCACATAAAAAATGGATTCATGCAAATAACAAGTCATAGAAGTATGGATGCATTTAGATTATTTTAAAAGGTGAAACATTTTGAAACTAAGCACATTGATCAAGCATAACAAGTTCTATACTATCATGGAAAACATAAGTTGGGATGTTGAGTTAGTAACGATATTTGCTAGTTATGCTTGGTGCTTTGTGTCAATTTGCACTTCCCTTTCTCTACATGATCATGAGTAAAATGAATTATAATTTCAATATGCTTAGTTCTAGTATCTATTAAAATTGATTTTTTGGTGACTTTGCTGGAGATGTAATCTTTTGCCTTATCTTGAATTTTAATTTTCATAAAACCTTTTCTTTCTCCTTCATAAGGTGTTATGCGAGGGCTCGGTTTTACATTTTGAATGAGCTACTTGAATTTTATTTGCAGTGCATCTTGTTTCCACAACGTCGCATTTGTGTTTTTTTTATTTTTGGGCTTGACTTGGGTCTAACCTTTTAGGTTTAAGCTTGGGCTTGAATTGGATATGTCTTGGCCTTCAATTTGATTGAATCGATTTGATGTGGGATCCTCCTTGGATTATGGCTCGACTTCTTGCCAGTCATTTGCACCTAGAAATATCCACCTATTGTCAAGAGGGTGGCTTGTTCAATCTTTGCTTTTAACTGCTCTTCTTCCTTGCTTTTCTTCCTTTTTTGTTCTGCCTCTGACACTTACCGGTGTGTTTTCCCATGCTTCTGACAATAGTTATTAAAATGGATAATTTCTTACAACTCATATAGGTTGGTTTTAGATAAAAGAATCCACAAATGCCTCCCTTCTTCTTGAATTCATCCTTAACAAATTTCTTCCATTACCCTAAATCTTCATTAGGAAGAAATTCCTGAATCAAATTGAAGAAGGTTGCATACAGGACATATGAATGTTCGTTTTGAGCTGGTCGAAGTTGCTGGAGAAGCTTTGCTTGAACTGGGAAATGGAGGAGAATTTGAGGAGGAGGAGAGATCAAAATGGTGCCCCCATGGTGGCGATCTCTATTTTTATCGACGATAAGTTGACTGACCTTTATTATGTTCATTGAATCATATGGGAAGAAGCTGAAGAATGAAGTAAGAAGGAGCTAATATGGTAGAAAGAATAATGGGAAAATATATATGGTATTTTTTAAAAAAATATTGTATGGTGACAAATCAAATATTTTTTTTTCCATATTTGGATATAAATAAAATAAAAATAAAACACATAAATAAATAAATAAATAAAGACAATCCCAAATGATCCCTTGTCCCATAGTCAATGTCGAGTCATATTTGACATAATAAAGGTGGTATATGATTATTAATGTAATAAGTCTTTTTTTAAATCTTTTTAATGATGATGATAAGATCATTAAAATCCAATCAACAAAATATAATCAGGGATATCAGGGGCCAGATTTCTGAACTAATTAATCTGAAAAAAGATGTTATAGGATAAATAAACGAGCTTTCAATCTTTTTTTGTTTTTGTTTTCATTGCATCTGCTTATAAATATGAGTGGATCATCAAGATATGCTTCTCTTCAAATAGTTTTGCTTCAAGCTTATTCTCTACTTGTTATATATCTACATGAATATGTTAGACCGCCCAAGGGCCGGTTGTACTGGTCCTTCTTGTATCGGTTCAAGTCTAAAGGAGGCGGAAAAAACTAGGGGGCGGCATGAAGGCTGGGGTCCACGCATTAATGGAGGCTTTGTTTAGGAGGGAAAATTCAAATTAGGAGTTGTTTAGGGATTAATGTTTTGTGTTTTGCTTTAAGTAATTCTCTTCTTGCTAGGGTTAGGATTATCTTGAATTAAATCTGAAATTTGATATATTGGTGTTGGTTTTGGGGCTCTAGACTTCTGCTTGAGATTGAAGAGCTGAATCTTCCTCTAGAATTGAAGATTCATTGTATCAGGTTGTTTCTTTTCTTCTCCTACTTAATTTCAAGTGGTTGCCTTTGCTATTTCCCTATAGTTATCATCAATTCTGTTTGGTGTTTGCTGAATTTATCTCTCTGAATTTGTTGTTGTTTCTTATCAGAAAACCCCCATACAGGCGAAATCATTAGATGATACTGAACTTTATTTCCCCAGCTTATTTAAAAGTCACTTCAGCTTAGCTTATAGTACTCCTTTTCAGGTTCTGATAATTTGGACAACCTGAAGAGGCTTGCAGAGCAGTTCCAGAAGCACGCCCCAGCTGCTGCTGCAGCTGGTGCTACTGGCACTGGTGCAAACCACCAGGAAGAGGATGATGATGATGATGTCCCAGAGCTCGTGCATGGTGAGACATTCGAAGAAGCTGCTGATGAGATCAAAGCACCAGCGGCTTAAAGAGCATTTGTTATTATTGCAGATTTAGAATTTTGGATCTAAGTTACATTGTGTCCCTTGAGTTATTCTTGCTTTTATCACTGTTTTTTTTTTGACATGCTTGAAAAGGGTGCAACTTGGTGTTTTAATGAATCTACCCATCCATTCTATTTCTTGCAGCCAATTGTTGTCAGAAACCCCCATTAATGAGGCTGAATCCTACTAGTCAGTTTTTATTGTGCAGGTGAACTCTCTCAAAGTGCTGTTTGACAGTCTATGTATGGGATTACTTGATTTAGGTTTCATTTGGGATGAATTTCTCTCTGTTTCTTAAAGCAGCTTTTTAGTATAAAATTTTTAATATTTGTATTAGAAAGCTGCTTTATGAAGCAGTAAGAAAGTCGTCCCAAACGAAGCCTTAATTTTTGTCATAGCGGGTCACCAGATCAAGCAGGTCAAGTGAGATCCGGATCCTGGCGCTGGAATACTTATTTTTCTTACATCAAACAGTGTGAAATTGATCCATCTAAAAGCTCAATATTCATAAAAAAAATGTTTTTGATGCTTGGGCTTTTGGAAAAAAGATGAGCTTTACCTTCTCTAATACGAGAGATTATTACATAGAAGATATCAGAGATGGAGAACCGTTTCTGTGAACAATGCAAGTGCAGATGAACTATGTTTTTACTGTTCACAGAGATAAATACGAACGGTTCTCTGTATCTGATCTCTTCATGTAATAATTCATCATCTTAACACCTCTTTCATACATCTGGGTATACCCATATATGTCGTGGCAGATGTTACATTGCTGATTTCAAACATCTTATTGACAAAATCAGCTTGAACTGTGATGCTTTGGAAAGTTAAAAGTTATCTTTATTGGCTGGTAGATTCTAACTTCAGAATTTCTCCATTTGGAGTACCCCCCAAAGCCATTATCACAATTTACTACAGGTGCTATTCCAGAATTCCTCTTTAATGGGAGAATACCTAGATATCTGAGAGGATTCTTCTAATTGTAAGCATATATTGGTGCTTTGGCTTCCTGAAAGTTATCAAGAAAGAGCTTAAAGGTTCAGCTGTGATCAATTGTGAATAATATAATTTTCATTGAAATAATTAATTTTTTTTAATTATACATTCTATTTGATTTGATTATAAAAATAACTGCCCACTAAAACATTTTGAAATACAACTAAAAAGTTGTAGCTAATATTAGGAAAGCAAGATTATGAAAAAATTGTTCCAAACGGATCTATTATATAAAACTTATCCTAGCTTTACAGAGCAGTGGTGCCAGCTTTGAGAGTAACTTGCAGTCAAAATACACTCCTTTTCTCTAAAAGGGGGGAGGTTATTATGTGCTCCGGTTCCGAGCTTGGTAACGAGTGATATTGGGCACTCGGTACCGAGTGCGATACATTTTTGGGGGCAACGTGACATATTTATATTGGTCTCCGGACGAATCCGGACCCGCACGCAATAGTTTTTCCTAAAATGGAGCTTCCCATTCCATCTTCATTTGCTTTGTTATATAACTCAACATCCAATATACTTCAGCTACTTCTGGATGAGACTTATCATGAGCAATAAACCTATGCAGAGTTCCATCCACCTCAATCTCACTTCTCCCAGGAGCCTTTCTCACTCCCCTCTTCTCCATTTCTTCTCTCATTTTCTTTGCATCCTCCCAACGCTTTGAAACAGCCAAAACATTTGAAAGACCAACATACCTTCCATCATGTTCAGGCTCCAACTCAACCAGCATCTTCCCCACAATCTCCCCAAGCTCCATCCAACCATGAATCTGACAAGCACTGAGCAAAGCACCAAGAAGAGAACCACTTGGCTCCATTGGCATCGTCCTTATTAACTCATAGGCCTCCTCCATGCAACCCGCCCGCCCCAAAACATCAACCATACACGCATAGTGCTCCACATGTGGTCGCATTCCAAGCTCCCGAATCGATCGGAAAAACTCCCAAGCCTCGCCCACGAAGCCTCCATGAGCGCAAGCACTTAGCAATCCTAAGTAGGTGATTTCATCAGGCTTTATGCCTGCTCTAACCATCTCCCTGAACATTTCAACAGACTCTCTAGCCATCCCCTGCATTGCAAGCCCACCAATGATTGTATTCCAGATCAAAACATCGGTTTTAGCCACGGGGAATGATCGGAAAACATCGATAGCCTCCCGTATCGATCCGCATTTCGCATACATATCCACCAAGGAAGTTGTAACAGCAAGGCTTAGTACCAAGCCATTGTCTTTTAAGTACTGATGCAAGCTTCTTCCTTTTTCTAGAATGCCTAAGTGCGCACAGGCACACAACAAGCTTACCATGGTGATTTCATTTGCTTTTGGTCCATGGATCTGCATTTTCTCAAAGAGAGCAAGAGCAGCTCTGTAATCTCCACCTTTGACATAACCATCAATCATAGCACTCCAAGATACAACATCCTTCTCCGGCATTCGATCAAACACCTCCCTCGCACCAGCCAAATCTTCACACTTTGCAAGCCCATCAACCAGGGCATTCCACGACACCAGATTCGGAAGAGAAATTTCGTCGAACACCTTGCGGGCGTCCGGCATCTGCCTACAGGATGCGTACATATGGATCAGCGAGTTGAGAATGAAGATATCGAGATCGTGCCCATGCTTGGTTATATGGCAATGGACTACGCGGCCAAGGCAGAGCGAGGCGAGACGCGCGCAGGATTTGGCGAGGAAGGGGAAAGTTAGGTGGTCCGGTGGGGTATTACTACGGAGCATTTGGACGTAGAGGGAGAGGGCGCGGTTGGGGTTTCTGCTTCGGGAGAAGCCACGGATGATCGTGTTATAGACGAAGGCGGAGGGAGAAGGGAGGGTGAGGGAGAGACAGTGGGAGTAGTTGACATCGCCGGACTCGGAGATGGCAGAAAAGAAGACAAGTTTGGAGAAAAGGAAGGTATCGCCGGCGAGGCCGAGGGTGGTTAGCTGCGCTTGGATTTGCTTCAGCTCTGTCATGGACTTGCAGCGGTCAGCCAAGGCAGGGAGCCTCACGAGGTGAGAACTAGCCACCATGGGCGATATCTTCAACTTCACAAAACTGAGTGACACTTCCTCCCAATAACTTCTCTTGATCAAAGAAGTAAACAAAATCCAATTTTGCACTGTTGATTAGGAGATTAATCAAATAATCAACAGAGCTAGAGTTCAAGCGATATAACTCTGATAGCACGTAGCAACCCATGCAAAGCTAGGATATGAAGCAACGGACAGATCAATTCTATTCATTCAGCATGGGTTTTATATTCATACTCATCGCTACTATGCCCAAAAGAGAAACATGCAAATGAAGTACAGTTTGTGATTATCTTTATAAACGAAATTTTGATTTATTCTGTTTCTGAAGAAGATCATGCTATGCATCTAGGATAATTTTGGAGATTTTTAGGTAGCATTAATTATCCACAAAAATTTTCAAGTACTAGTTCTCACTGAAAGGTATATTTTTATGGGACATGTAGTCAACAATACTAGTATTTCTATAAATCCCCAAAAAGTTCAAACTGCTGTTGATTGATCGAGACCTACTATTGTATTTGAGATATGTAGCTTTCTAAGCATGACCGACTGTTATAGGAAATTTGTGAAGAAAATTTTCACATAGTTATGCACTCTGATAAGATTGACTCAGAAGTTAATAATTACATAAAAAGGAGGTTGATAAAAAGCCGTTCAATAAAATGAAGTTTCAATAATGAGATATGTATGACTAATATTTTTAAAAGTGCTTATTAATACTTGAAAGTAATTTTAAATTATTTATTTAGGAGTTATGCTTTTGAGATTTTATTATTTAATACTTGAAAGTAATTTTAAATCAGTAATTCGCTTCCGAAACTCCGTTTTGTGACCGAAGAAGCAGATACGAAAAATTTTTTGTAACCGCCGAAAAAACAATGTTTATTAAAAAGGAATTATTGTTAAGCTTTGATTCCAAACAGTAAAATATACTATCTGTATAGAGTTAAGCGTGAGATCTTTACTGATCATCATAATTTAAAATACATATTTATTCAAAATGATCTAAATTTGAGAAAAAAAGAAGGCTAGAGTTTATCAAAGATTACAATTTGACTATTTAATATATAGTTTTATTATATATTTTATTATTAATAATCATCAAATATATTTCATTTTTTTTAACTTTAAAAAATATTATCCTATAAAAATCATAAATTTTGTATACAATTATAGACATAAGCATTCGATAGTCATCATTTTTTATATAATTATACCCATAATTTTTATTATTTATGTATGTCTCATATTTAGCATAATAAAAAATCAACTAAACACGAATAAATTTGTTAACTTAATCATGGTTAGCTCTTTAACCCAACGGTTAACAGGTCAGGTCTATCGCTGCTGACGCGGCTCTTCAAAGCAAATTTGTAAGAGCGGCAAAATCATTCGAGGGTTCCTGAGCGGGAGAGTGAAGCGAGAAAAGATGTCTTCGACCTTCCACTGCCCGGAGATGCCGGCGTCGCAGATCGCCGAAGTACTCACCGACAGCGGCATTGCCGCCGTATCTGAGGAGGATCTCGCCGCCCCGACTGCTGAATTCGCCTTCGCCCTCTACGCCAGCGTCCTCAACTACTTTCAACCCCTCAGGTAACAGAAACCCTAGATCTCCAGCCTTTACACTTCCTTCCCTCATGGGATCGAATATTCTTGCAGTGAAGATGTCAATGGTGGGCTTGATTTTGGCGCCCTGCAGCTACTGGACAACCCCGAGCACCATGAGGACGCCGTCCGCGCTATTAATCTCTACCACCGGATGAATGAGCTTCTCGTATCTATAAATTGTAACGGATTCAAGCTCTCCGATCTATTGAGGCCGGAACCCCGGAGGATAGTCGTCATTTTCAGCGCCATCGTCAATTTCCTCTACTATAGGTAAGGTTTTGTTGATAAACGAGGCATGTGTGGTTTAGTCATAATGTAATTTATCCTAGGATTATTTTTTGGAGCGTTTTAGGGAAGAAAGTGGGACAAATGCTTGATGTTGTTATTGTTTTAGGGAGGAAAAGCTGGCCACTTTGCAAGTGTTTATGGACAAGCTACCCGCCTGTGATGAGAGAAGAAGTGAACTTGAGGAGAAGCTTGCAGAGGTATGTCTGTAACGTTGTGGGGTTGCAGATGATCAAATTAGATATTTCTATTTCCAATGCAATGAACTGTTGGATTTGGTTAATATTTTACTCTTCTTTGATATCGCTAAATTGTTGTCTTTAACTTCTGCATGAGAAAGAGCCATTTTCACGTGATTAATATGTTGTGCATAATTTAACTTGCATGCGGCTATCCTTTGCTTACTGGATAACAAGGGCAATTTAGTTTGTGTATTCTGCAAATTTTTGGCTAACCCAGACTTTTTATCCTATAACAGTTGAGAACAGGCACCAAATATCATTTATGTAAAATTTCTTTCTTCCTTTTTTTGGCCGCATTGGAGAGGAACATGATTAGATGGAACCGGATCTGGTCCTCTGGGAGTTAGGATGCTGTTGCCTTCATTGTTGTTTGTATTTTTCAGGCAAGGATGATGATGATAATTGCAAATATGAAATTCTAAGTGTTCTTTAATTCTTTTTTCTTTACTGTTATGCAATAAATCTTGCAGAAGATGCCATTTCATGCTATAATTCTTGGTGAACCATATCAGAAAAGAATGTATACAAATAAGACTTTCTGAAAGCTTAGCAGAGAGAAATGAGTCCAAGAGCTGAAATTTTGAGAGTCAATTGTTTTGATTGAATTATCATTTGTCTTGCCAACCACCATAACCCCCTCTAAGGATTTGCTATCATTATTTTTAGTAAATGCATTAAACTTGTGGAAATATTGCAGTTGAAGAAACAAAGCATGGATTACGAAGTTGCACGAAAAGAAGAGGAGCCTTTGGTCCATGAGGTTGATGCTGAAGTGAACAAGTTAAAGCATTCTATACAGGATTATAACAAGCAGCAAATGTTGATGAGGAACCAGGCTAAAGAGCTCAAGGAGAAGGCTGATGCCATTGACAGCAAGGTTTCAACTCAATCATTGCCTTTATCATCATTGAGAAAACATAGCTTAAGGTTCTGCTTTTTCTTATTTCATGCTTGGTAATAACTATGTAATGATCCTGATCATCAAGAAGACGAGCATTATGAGTCCTTGATGGATGCTTCTAGTAAAGTGAATTTTCTCATTTTTAAGACATGTGTTTGATTGAGAGAGTGTTTCTAGTAGCTTTTGGTTGATTAAACCTTTCAAATTGCTTTAAGTATTGGCATTGCACTTCATTTTTGTTTGATGTCCAACCAGGAGTTGACATGGTACCTCAAAATTTAAATTACGGTTTTTAACGACTAGATGTCTTTATCTCAAATTTATGTGCATTTTAGCGTTATTCTAAAATTGGCAGCTTCCTTACTACTGATAGTGTAATGTGGCATATTTTTTCCCATTTTAGTTAAATAATTTTATATGTATATCAATGAGTACATAAATATGTAATGTGGCATATTTTTTCCCATTTTAGTTAAATAATTTTATATGTATATCAATGAGTACATAAATACTTATAAAAACACCTTTATGCTCTTACTCAAGATGGAGGTGTCTGTCATTCGTACTAAACTCATAACTTATTGTGGGCTTCGAAAATTTATGCCCCAGCCTCTCCCCTGCTTTGATTGACAGGGAGAGTTTTAATGTATTTAGGTTCCAAAGTAAATTTTCAGAAGGCAGATTAGGTTTTTAGATAAGTCACTGCCTAGAGATTTCACCCTCATTTTGCGAGGACTTTATGATCTGAGTTCTGGTTTCCCATAGGCGAAGCCCCTATGTTTAATTACCCCTTCTGATAACGAGAGATAACTTTTGATTAAGGCTAGTCATGAGATAGACACTAAGTACCCAACTTATAGTAGCAACAATTTTAGGATTTGAATTTGATTTTGGATTTTGAAGTTTAAGCTTTTTCAATTTATCACTATATACTTAAAACAGGTGGTGGAGGAATGAAGATGGGCCCGATCAAAATCCCATGTTTCCGTCATCCTAGGTTGCCATAGTCCATAGTATATTTAGTCAGAGGAGGTAGTTGATCCAACCTGACAAAATGAACCTTATTGGAAACTATGAGTTACTTTGTCCAAGAATATCTTGTAGACATGGGGTGGTGTTGTCTAAGAGGATATATTTGAATCAATCTTAGTTGAAAAAAAGGGCTTTGTGCCTATCGAGTATATACTATGATTCATTATTCAAAGGTTTGAAATAATTAGGAAACTTATGGGCTTTGGTCGTGATTGTAATATAGTGGTGTCATTTTGCAGCAAAATCATCCAATCAGAGAGCACGTGCCACGTCCCAGCTGGCGAGATGTTATTTGATAATGAATTTTAGTGATACATCTGATATGACATTTGCTCGTTGTGAGCTGAAGTTAGTTTCAAATTTATCACTGCTGACAAACGGTTGCGGTGGATGTATGTGTTTTAGTTTTAATTTTTTATGATTAAATTTTCATTTAAAAGTTTAGAATTTAATAAATGTTGGATTTTGAAATAAGCTTTGAGAATTGACCACTCCGGTTGAGATTTACATTCAACACGACCATCATCTAGGTGATATGATTGTCATTTTAATAATATATGTATTTTGTAGGAATTTAGGAGGCATCTTAAAAGTTTAGGGTCTCCTATGATTTAGATTTTTTTTCAACAAGATCATTATCGGAGTTTTAAATAATTAGTGTTGAACTCCACAGCACATCAAAACGAAAAAAATCAAATTAAAAATTCATTCTTTGCATACCTCTGTCAAGCCCATACACAAATTTGGATTTTGAATTTACATTCAACACGACCATCATATAGGTGATATGATTGTCATTTGAATAATATATGTATTTTGTAGGAATTTAGGAGGCATCTTAAAAGTTTAGGGTCTCCTATGATTTAGATTTTTTGTCAACAAGATCATTATCGGAGTTTTAAATAATTAGTGTTGAACTCCACAGCACATCAAAACGAAAAAAATCAAATTAAAAATTCATTCTTTGCATACCTCTGTCAAGCCCATACACAAATTTTGGATTTTGAAAATTTACCCTGAAACCTAATTCATTAAAACTCTTCTGAAAGAGGGGAAGCCGAAGCGCGAATTTTCAGAGTCCACAATCCAACCTATAACTAAGTATTCTTCTACTTATTATTTTAAAACTTGACCAAATATTACCTTAAGATACCACAAACCTCTTAGTACTTAATATGCTACCTAGTCATTTTATGGAATCGAGTTATTAAGCTTTGCAAAAGTTATGCTTGGTCTAGTAATAGACTAATAGTAAAGTAGTTTAGTTTGCCATTTTCTTCTTCTGTTTAGCTATATTATACATAGTTATCCGCTTATCCCTTTCTAGTTCAAAATTTTCTGTTAATGATTTATTTGAATGTTTAATTGTTTACTTCGTATCCTTCTCTCAAAATTTTTATCAATGCAATATTTTCTTATGCTAGATAAAATTTTAAACTTAAAAATTCCTGTTAGAGTTTTAAATGAGCCAATATACTTAACAAACGTCACCATACTTCTTCAATTATTGCTCTTTTTTTGTTCACTTAGTTGATTGATAGGAAACACTTGTGTTCGCAAGTATTCCTAACCCAAACCAGTAAAATTACAGCAGCCAACTGCTGTCCACAGTAGCAAAACAGCAGAAAAACAGGAAAAACGCAGCAGGAAATTGGGAAATGAGGAGAAAAACACAAGATTTCGCTTGTATTTCACTAGAAATCAAAGAAAATAGAAAAGATACAATTAATCCTCAATTCGAGAGGAGGATCGATCTCTCCCAAATCTCTGACAACGCCAAGAGCCCAAAGAAAACCTAAATCTACGAGATCTCAAATTTCAGCCAAATTCAAGATGCCCAAACCCTAGGAAAAACCTCTATTTAATGCATACAAATCAAAAGGAATTCCCTAAACAGTCCCTACATTCAAATTTCTCTCTGAAATCCCCCAAAAATCCTTCCTAAAATGCTCTGTTTGAGCGGTCGGGCCGCTCGTTCTCCGCCAGGAGGCGGAATCTCCGCTTTTTTGCGATTTCCGCCCGTGAACCGGTCCCTTCTGGACCGGCTGGACCGGTCTAACAATACTCCCCTCCCAAAGATCCACCTTGTCCTCAAGGTGGAAATATGCTCGTGTTCCCGCGGAGGCGGCCATCCTTGAGGTGACTGAAAATCCTCACTGTATTGCTGAACCAAGGGCTGCATGGAAAGAGAAACATCCCCTCATTCCTCCATCATGATCACATTCAGCTTGTGTAGTCCCACCAGATAGTCTTTCCCCACCTCTTGCATATTTCTGACCATGGTCTTAAGTGATGTCATGGCTTTGGATAGCCCTGCATCTCCTGTTATAACCACCTTTCTCCCATCCACCATTAATTCCATCGTGAGTGCTCCCCAATTGTCCTTGGTTTCTCCCAAGGTTTGCAACCACTTCATCCCCAGGATAATATTAGTGCTTCCTAACTCTAATGGGAGAAAGTCCTCCTTTACTTGAATCCCCTGGATGGTCAACACCACACCCTTACAGATTCCCTGGCCTTTCTCCACCTTCCCTGTACCCATCATCACCCCATAACAACCGGTGTCCACCAATTTCACTCACAGTCGGTTGACAACCTGAGTGGAAATAAAATTGTGGGTAGCCCCACTATCAATTAGTACAACCACCTCACGGTCAGCTATCTCTCCTTTCACTTTCATAGTGTGACTCGGAGTGAATCCCACTAC